TTAATAGAAAATATAAGTTACAAATTTATCACAACAAAGTTATAAAATTGAGAGCCGAACTTGCAAATTCCTGAAGTTTTTTTAAAAAATGAAAACAAAAACCAAATATTCCCTAAACAACTGCACTCAAAGTGAAATTTTTTTTTGGATATGCATGGATCATCTTTAACATATGGTAATACAATACAACCAGATGAAGTGAAAGGTGGTAAAAAGAAGGAATAATCACATTTAAAGATAACTCAAGTAATTAATTACACACAAAGACTAGCAACAAGTTCCATTTCAAAAAAAAAAAAACAAGTTAACGTTCCCATTTTAATAACAATTTATTCCATCTTAGTTAGTATTTATGAACAATTTATTTAAGTGGTTCTTAGAGATATATATATATATATATATATAATTCTTCTAAAAAATATGAGTCTTATTTTGCTCGAATGTAATAATGAATGCTGAATAAACTAAATAAATTATAAATAATGTGAAAAAATTGTTATGTTTATTCATGTTAAATAAAAAAATCCAATGCATAAAGCCGAGTGACTTCGTAAATGACAAGCCTGCTTACGAAAGACATTATATAGGGCCACAAGCAACAGTTTATTTCATTTGAATATTCGTTTCCTCGTATGTACCCTAGTAAATGTCAAAGCAATGATATTTGTATATATCAACGTTTTAAAAATCCGAATAGACAATTAACAAAAAAAGTCAGCACATTACAGTTCTTACAGTTTAATTAGCAATATAATAATTAAATAAAAGATAATATTTAAATGCAAAAATTGTAAAAAAAGTCCAACATTCTAAAGTCAGTTTTTCCCTGAATCTTCAAGAACCGATCAAATTAAAGTGAGTCAACTCGGATCAATTGTTAGAACAAACCAAATGGTTAAATTAAATTTTTTTCTTTACTTGGCGATTGATTACCTGGCATGTTTGACCATCTGGATTGATTTGGATCTGAAAACACCGGTTTATATGAGGATTAAACTGATGGTGTGCTTCACAATATAATATCTTAATAAATACTCGTTCAATTAAAAGTTTTTTTGGTGATCACCTTCTAACAGCCAATTCAACAACTTCTTGGTTATTTAAAAACTGATCTAACTAAAGCCACAGTCAAAGAAATTACGTGCTTGATGACAGAAGACAAAAGTAAAAGAACCTCCATCATATACAAGTTGACTTAGATTGGACTTGTTTGACATCCCAGACAAACAATAAAATCCATCATGTAAAGAGTTTGAATATTGGTTGGCCTATCAGCCTACCCATTTAAACCAATTTTTTAGTGCTTTGCTTTAAAGATTGAAGTATTTTATATAAAAGGTCTTCTAAGCCCTTCCCATTTTAACCATAAAAAATAAACTTATGACCTAGACTTAATAGAGAAGAATATGTGGCACTACATATCTTTCATTTAATTTAACATTTTTGCTAAAAAAATGTAAGATATTTTTTGAGGAGTTGAATGTTAAAAAATATTAAGCATTTTTAGTCTTTTAAGTGTAATTATTGTCATTTTTTTAAATGTATCCGTATTAATAATAACTTTATATTTATTATAAGGTATTTAATAGGAGTAAAAATGAAAAGATAAAATTCATTTGAAAGTAGGTAACTACTTTATTGGAGAGTGAAATTTAGTTAAAAATACGTTACATTTTATTTTATTAATAATATTGCCTTCTTTCCCAAAAAAACCATAAAAATAAATTTAGATTAATTAGAGCTATTTTTTAATCTTATTTCATTTTTTACCTCTAAAAAATAAAATATTTAAATTTTTATATTAAATTTAAATTTTGGACTATTTTGTTTTTTAGAATTATTCTTTCCGTTAAAAAATATTTGACATTTTTAACTAAATTTCACCATTTAATAAAGTAATTACATGTCTTCAAACTAGCACAATTTTTTTATATTTATCCCTATTTAATAGGATGTTTACTCTAAAATAAATATAAAGTAATTTATTTTAAGGGTACTTTTTGGGAAAAAACATAATGATTATACCTTAAAACACTAAAAATATCTTACATTTTTTAACAAAGAGAGTATTATTTACATTATTTATTTTAACTTTTTAAATATTATAATTTATATTTTAGACCAAAAAAATATGTAACCAGATGGATAAGAATTAGGTCTGAATAAGTAATCAATTTCAAAATAACAGGGGTTTTGATATGGGCCAAGTCCATATGAATTAAGCTTGCCTAATATATAAATAATGGCTCAAATGTCAAAACAATGTTTTGTATGCGGATTAAATGTGAACCCCCAATATATAAATAACATGGGAAGTACCTAAAATAAACAAACTTATGTAGCCCGACGAGTCAAAGAAATAACATATTGTTGCTGACGACTGACACTAGGGCCACGACAGTTTATCTATAAATAAAAACTGGTTTCCTCGTACATTAATGGCGCTTATTAATCAGGCATGACCAACGAACTCAATAAATTAGATTAAATTTAGGCTAGCCGTTTAATCCTGTTTGCTTTTTTACTTCTGAAAAATGAAATATTTAAATTTTTTAGATTAAATTTACCTCTAAAAAATAATATTACATATTCCTCGTACACTAATGGCGCTTATTATATTAATGGCATGACGAACGAAAGCAAGTGGGCACAAAGAAACTTATCTAAGGCAACAAATGATGGTTTACTTAATAAGATAATTTGTTAATATAGTCATATTGTCATACAATACTACCAGACAAAGTGAAGGGTGGTAAAAAGAAGGAAAAATCGTATTTAAAAATCACTCAAGTAAATTAATTACACACAAGGACTAACAGCAATTTTCATTTTAGAAAAAAAAAAAACAAGTTTACATTCTCATTTTAATAACACTTCATTCCATATTTGTTATTATTTATGAATAATTTGCTTGAGTGGTCCTTATATATAATTCTCCTAAAAAGAATGAGACTTATTTTGCTATATAATTCTCCTAAAAAGAATATGAGATTTATTTTTCTTGAATGTAATAATGAATGCTGAATGAACTAAATATATTATATATAATGTCAAAAATTTGTTATGTTTATTCATGTTAAATAAAAAAATCCAATGCATAAAGCCGAGTGACTTCGTAAATGACAAGCCTGCTTACGAAAGACATTATATTAGGGCCACAAGCAACAGTTTATCTTATGTGAATATTCGTTTCCTCGTATGTACCCTAGGAAATGTCAAAGTAATGGTATGTGTATATATCAATGTTTTAAAAATCGAAATGGACAATTAACAAATGAGGTCAACGGTTCTTATAGTTTAATTGGTAATATAATAATTAAATAAAAGGTAATATTTAAATGAAAAAAAGTGTAAAAACGGTGTAACCATTTCAAAGTGTTGGATTTTTCTCTGAATCTTCAACCGCTCAAATCAAAGTGAATCATGGATCAATTGTTAGAACAAGCCAAATAGTTAAACCAAATTTTTTTTTTCTTTACTTGGCGATTGATTACCTGTCATGTTTGACCATCTGAATTGATTTGAATTTGAAAACACTGGTATATACGAGGGTTAAATTGATGGTGTGCTTCGCAATATAATATCTTTAAAAATACTCTTTCAGTTAAAAGTTTTATTGGTGATCACCTTCCAACAGCCAATTCAACAAACTTCTTTGCTATTTAAAGATTGATCTAGCTAAAGTCATAGTCAAAGAAATTACATGCTTGATGACAGAAGACAAAAATAAAAGAGCCCCCCATCATACACAAGTTGATTTAGATGGGGCTTGTTTGATATCCCATACAAATAATAAAATCTATCATGTGAAAGAGTCCAAATATTAGTTGGGCCTATCAATCTACCGATTAAAACCTGCTCTTCAGATCTTTGCTTTAAAGATTGAAGTATTTTTATATGAAAGGGCTTTTAAGCCTGACCCATTTTAACCATAAAAATTAAACTTAAGTTTTTAGAGCTATGTGTTTAATCTTATTCCATTTTTTACCTCTAAAAAATAAATATTTTAAATTTTTATATTAAATTTAGATTTTAGACTATTTTGTGCTTTAGAATTACTCCCTCTATTTAAAAATGTTTGACATTTTTAACTAAATTTTATTATTTAATAAAGTAATTACTTGTTTAAAGCACACTTTTTTCATATTTATTTTTATTTAATAGAATGTTTCATTCTAAAATAAATATAAAGTGATTTATTCTCAGGGGTACTTTTTGGAGAAAAACACAATGATTGCACATTAAAACACTAAAAATATTTTATATTTTTTAATATAGAGAGTATGATTTACATTATTTATTTTAAATTTTTTAAATATTACAATTTATTTTAGACAAAAAAAGAAAATGTAGCCAGATGAATAAGAGTTAAGTTTGAATAAGTAATCAATTTAAAAAAAACGGGGGTTTTGATATGGGCCAAGTCCATGTGAATTAAGCTTGTCCAATATATAAATAGTGGCTCAAATGTCAAAACAATGTTTTGTGTGCGGATTAGATGTGAACCCCAAAATATAAATAACATGAGAAGTACCTAAAATAAACAAACTTATCTAGCCACGACGAGTCAAAGAAATGACAAATTGTTGCTGACGAATGACTCTTGGGCCACGACAGTTTATCTATAAATAAATACTGGTTTCCTCGGACTCTAATGGCGCTTATTAATCAGGCATGACCAATGAACTCAATAAAGTAGATTAAATTTAGGCTAGCCGTTTAATCCTGTTTGGTTTTTTACTTCTGAAAAATGAAATATTTTATATTTTTTAGATTAAATTTACCTCTAAAAAATAATATTACATATTCCTCGTACACTAATGGCGCTTATTAATTAGGCGTGACGAACGAAAGCAAGTGGCCATAAAGAAACTCATCTAACGCAACAAATGATGGTTTAATTAATAAGATAATTTGTAAATATTTGTATAAAACCAAAATGTGGTATATAAATTTCTGAGTGGGGGGTTTCTGATCTGTGTGATCTCACTGAGAAGATGATGGCGGATTCAGCAAGGGGAAGCTCTGTACCGTGTCACATGAAAGCTTGGGTGTACTGTGAATATGGAAAGCCAGAACAAGTGTTGAAGATTGATCAAAGTGTTGAAGTGCCTCAACTGAAGCATGATCAAGTTCTCATCAAGGTTGCTGCTGCTGCTATTAACCCCGTTGATTGTTGGAGGATGACAGGTTCTTTCAAGAACGACGACTCTACTTTTCCGGTAATATTCTTTTATTCATACTCTCCTTTTTCTTCTAATATGCACACAGCTGATCTCCTATGAGAGGCAAGCCAATCCGAAATACAGTTGAATATTGAATATGGGTGTCTCCTTTTGTTGGGATTCAAATATTAGTTTATCATATTTTAAGAGATTAGCTGCTTTTATTAGATTTATTTTTTTGGTTTGTAGTTTACTTTTCTATTTTGACATGAACATTGTCTTTAATTTGCATATATATAATAATAGGAAAATTAGGTCAAAAATTTAATTTGCATGTATATGAACATTGTCTTTAAAAAAAAATTAAAGGGTATTTTTATCATTTCATCCAAAATTTAAGTACAATTAGGTTCTCCGAAACTTAAAAGATATTATCACATTTTGCAAGATCACCTTGTCATTTTCCTATTTTGAAAGGATTTATTTGTCATTCTCCCTATATTTATTACACTCAATGATGTGATTGGAAAGATGTGAAAATTTTTAAAAAATCTAAAATTTTAGCCAATTTTTTTAGAAATAAAAATTACTTAATAATGACCTATATTGTAATTCGGAGGAAGTATAAGAAAGAAATCAAAGGTGATTATGATAGATTGATTTTAATCAGAAGATAACATTAGAAACCAGTAATGATTTTTCACCCTCTTAATTAAATTTGCAAATATTCTACTTTTGATCTGCACCAACTTGATTTCTTTTGTGCTTTCTGGTGAGAAGAACACCCCAGGCTTTGATGTTGCTGGGGTGGTGGTGAGGGTGGGAAGTGAAGTGAAGAAGTTCAAAGAAGGTGATGAAGTATATGGTAATATCATTGAAGATGTGAAACACTTGAAGCAGCTTGGATCATTGGCTCAATACACAGTTTCAGAAGAGAGATTATTGGCTCACAAGCCTCCTAATCTGAGTTTCTCTGAAGCTGCAAGCCTTCCTGTAGCCATTGGGACTGCTTTTGGAAGCCTTGAGTGTGTTGGACTTTCTCAAGGTCAATCCATCCTTGTTCTTGGTGCTGCTGGTGGCGTTGGAACCCTTGTTATTCAGGTACATGTTTTTTTTTTTTTTTAAAGTCAATGTGGTTTAAAGAACAAGGGAAAATTTTATTTATATATAAAAAATACGATTACCCCTCACTAATAATTGATTCAAAAGAGAACAAACAACATGACCCAGCATTTCATTGTAAAATGTAATAAACAAATTAAATTATAGAATCTAGTCTACGTGGAAAGAAAAATCAAACAAACATGTAAGATAGAATTGCGTGCCTAATTTTACCATAATTGTTATGCTACAATGTGCTACTCAATGTCTCAAACTAGGTCTTCCTCCCTATACGCTTTTAGAATTATACCTCTCTAGTCTTATTTATAAGGCAAAGATATAGTATTTGTTTTGATCCTATTTATAAGACAACTCAATGATTATTATATTTATATTTACCTTTTTGCCCCTATTAAATGTTAGAAAGCATATTAAATACTAGAGTATTTTATTTTAAGTAGATATATTTAATAGGGATAAAGTTAAAAATTTATTAAATTCTTAAACAAAGTTAATATTTAAGGTTTTTCTTAATTTTAATAAAAATATTAAAACTAATTTACAAATAAGATCTGAGGGAGTAATAAATTACAATCAGAAGAGGTTTAGCTAGTTCAATAATTAATGTTTCTTATTGGGCTCAGCCCACTATAGGCTTTGGTAAACTTATGGCCTATGCACTTTAATTGCTAACTATGAGATCAAATGTCTAGCTCATCAACTATTTGATCATATAATATAATTAGGTTTTAATATTTTAAGAACCATTAATTAGCCTGTTTTGAAAAATTAATAAAATAAAAAAATATAACTTTAAATTCTTACTTACATTTTGCTTTTGATCCCTATATTTTTTTTTAATATTTTAAATCTGTAGAGGTTTATTTTTTTATTGTTTTAGGTTCCTCCAATATAAAATAAATACTATTATTCCACGCGTAAATTTCCAGCATTCAACCTATGAGGAAATCCAAACCAGTCAAACCTGTGCATACAACTTACGAAAACGATACAGAAACAAATTAAACAACGTCGTTACTCGGTCTTCATTCTTAAGGAATTATATATATTATTTTTCATCATGAATGTTATTTTTCATTTAATTTCTTTTTTATATTTTAACAAACGTTTTCAAACTATTAATTACGTACTAATTAGTAAACAAATTGTCCTCCAATATTATATAGAAAATTAAAGGGTGAAGTGATGATTTATGGTCTAATAAATTAAAATATACGTTTGAGGCAGCTCGCAAGACACGTTTTTGGTGCGTCAAAGATAGCAGCAACTTGCAGCACTGCAAAAGTAGAACTGTTGGAGACGTTAGGGGTTGACTTGCCAATTGATTATACAAAGTCCAACTTTGAAGATATGGCTGAAAAGTTTGATGTTGTGTATGATGCTGTGGGTTAGTTTTCTAAACCAATTTACATTTCATTTAAAATTCATACATATGATTAGTTATTCATATAAAAGTAAATTCAAGGGAACTTTACTGAAAAATCACTAGTTGAGGAATGTATTGACTAAAAGTCCTTCAAATCTTTTTAAGGTCCCTGGTCCTTGAATGGAAACATGATGAGAATTAAAAGACAAAAATGCCATATTGTAAAGCTTCACACTAGATTGGACTAAACTACAAGGACTTGCAAATATATTTTTCTTATAACTTATTCATATGCAAATAAATTCAAGAGAGAACGATGTGAGTTAAGTCCTTAAAGAATATATTAATGGTAGTTAGTCCTGACAAATGTTTTTTTTTTTTAAATTATGCTGCAAATATCGATAATTGCAAAGAAGAATTCTTATTCTAAGTTGAGAGTTGCATTTAGAACTTATATATCTTATTTGCAATTGGCAAATGTGAATTTTTTTAGACTTGATTGTGATTCCCCCTAAATTCAATGCAATTCTTAGTTTTTATTTGTTATCAAAAAATTTATTCATTATTTTTTTTATGTTTATCTTTGTGTTATGCAATTTGTTATACTTATTGAAAAAATGCTATTTTTTTAATTGAATTAGAGGGGTAGGCACAAACACCTGAGGTTACGAAACAATGCTTTTTTGAATCATGGACCCAATGAAAATAGTACAACATTGATAGAGTAGAGTAAGAATTCAAAACTTACATTAAAATATGAGAAAATATAATTGTTTGTCCCTATACTTTTAGTGTGTCTTAATATTAGTGCTTATACTTTGTTTTTTCCTGTTAGTTCTCGTCTCTTAAATTTCATACATCTACAACATTAGTTCTTATAATTTTAAATATGACCATATGAACTTAACTATGGTTGACATGCTCACAAACTATGTTATTTCTCATGCTGACTTATTAAAATTATGATGAGTTATATAAAAATGAGTAGAAGACAAAAATAAACAAGTAGGGCATTAAATTAGAATTGATAGGTGAAGCTTTAGAGGGGAGAACATATGATGGCTAGCATAATATAAAGACAAAAATGTTAGTGGCTATTTTGTTCCTATACACATGAGCAATTTTAACCCTGTCAGTCATCATAAAGACTAACATTACAAATAGATGAAACTTAAAGGACTAAGAGCAAAGAAAAAGGTATAGAGATTAGTATAAGGAGTAACAATTATAGTTTTACTACAAAATTTAAATATTTAATTGATGTGATGGAACTGAAAATCTCCATATGTTTCTTATTCATATATATGTGTGTGTGTGTGTGTGTGTGTAGTACAAGCTAGCACAAGGATAATATATTATTGCATTGATTAATAAACATGAAGCAGGGCATGGAGAGAGAGCAGTGAAGGCTGTTAAAGAAGGTGGTAATGGGAAACTTGTATCAATAATTCCTTCTGGAAATGCTTCAACAGCAATTGTATACAGAATGCATATATCTGAGGGAGCTGCGTTGGAGAAATTAAGACCATTCTTAGAAAGTGGAAAGGTGAAGCCAGTCTTGGATCCCAAAAGTCCATTCTCCTTTTCTCAGGTTTTGGAAGCCTTTGCTCACCTTCAGACCAAAAGAGCCACAGGAAAAATAGTCATCCATCCAATCCTTTGACGGATGTACGCCTTCAGCACATTATATAGAATTGTGTCTCAATAACATTAATAAGTGCGCTCAGCAAGTTGAAAATTATTTGGCTTAAATGGCAAATTACCCACAAACTATAGGTTAAACTATATATCAAGAAGCATTTAAGACCCTAAATTCATTTTTTGTGCAATATTTTTCTTTAACTTTTAAAAATGATACAATGTTGGCCCTATCATTTACAAAAGTTAGTTTTAACCATTAGTTAATCAGAAAATAATAGAAAAGTACCTTAAAAATTATAAGCAAAGACCCAAAAAATTCCAGAAAATGACCAAGAAACTTTTTTGTCCTTTTTTATTATTTTCTGAAAAACTAATAAACAAAGTTAATATTTGTTAACAATTGGAATGACATTGCACCATTTTAAAAAGTTGAAGGAGACTGTTGTTACCAAAAATAAGTTTAGGGTCCTTGATGTTCCTAGACTTATAGGTCATGGGCTTATTTGTCATTTAAGCCGAATAATTTCCACCCTAATTATTAATAAGTGTTATGTAATATGGCAAGATATCAGTGCGACACATAATATAAGTGTGTATGAGACTCATGATTAATATATATATATATATATATAATAAAATTTATATTAAGGGCACTATTCATTTGTTATAAATACCAGTACTCTAGTTAAAGAAAATTTGTTTGGTTGGTAACGATGCAAAGCATGATTTATGAGAATGTGGATTACTTTTATAAGTATTCTTTGAGCCATAAGAATTGATATGACATTATAACAAAAAAAAATTTATAGCAGTTAAAAAATACTTTTTACATCGATTCGCATAAAGATGTTGTTCCAAGGGGTGTGACTTTCCACATTAGTTTTAGAATTGATGTAAAAAAATATTTTTTACATTGGGTCTAATTCATCATAATCATTATTACACTTATATATCAAGTATTTAACCTCTACAACCTCAAATCATCATAAAAATTCATCCACTAAGTCTAGGGTCTTGAATTTAAGCTGCCCATTATCATAATCACTATCAAAACAACTTGAATAACATCTATTTAACTTCATAATCACCATAAAATTCAGAACCAATGGTTGGGTAGCCCCAAAAATGAAAACCCTAGTTATAAACTCTACAAAACCTAGCTTAAAGATATTAGAAGATATGAATAAGATTGAACAAGCCTACTTTACTAATTTGAGCCTAAAAAAGTCATTGAAATCAATGCTTCCACCAAACCCATGAGTAACTAGTTGAAGAAACCAATACAAGAACATATGAAAATGGAGAAGATGAAGAAGTGAGAGGGAGATTTTCGAAGAGATAGAAGATAGGGTTTCAAGGAGAGAATGAGACAAGATGAGAACGATTAATAGCATTAAAGATTTATCCTTTCAGGCAAGGAAAATGGCAAAAATTGTGGAGAAAATTACTTTTATGAGTGAGAAATTGTGAAAAATGACACCTGTGTGAGAAAAGAAAAATGATGCAGAAATTAAAAGATTTTTTACATTCGTTCCCTAAGGAACCGATGTAAAAAGCACTTTTTATATCAGTTATAACTAAAATTGATATAAAAATTAATTAATTTTTAAAATTTCTAAAATCAACGTTGAAAATTGATTTGTTTCGCAACATCCAAATTGATGCTACGGCACACTGGCAAAATTCAAATTTGATGTGAGCTTCAAAATTGTCAGTTTTGGGCCCATAAATTGAGCCATCTTATGTGAATAAAACTCATATTTAATACTATAATTAATCCAATAACTTTTACAGTTATCTTAAAACTTATCCACACTCATTCTCACAAATAATCATCTATTAAATCATATATATTTTTAATTAATTATATGAGATGACTTTCAATTGCATTAAAAACTCCATTACATTCATTAAAATATTAGAAGTCATCAAACTCTCATACTTGAACATTAGCTTGTCTTGAAGCGAAAGAAAATCGCTACACAAACCAGACCAAAGAAATTATGAACATTCCAAAAGTACTCAAAACAAGCAGGCACCTCCACATCAGTCAATGCTAAAGTGAAAAGGGGAATTGTTTAGGACATCTGGACCATCGCCCCTGGCCGCCCAGCCCATCATAACAATGAATTCTATGTCGAATTGGGCTACCTAGAACTCTTTGCACCTAAGCCCAATACCATCACTCTCCCCGTCTCCAGATGTTAGTGCTATGGACTCTGTTTTTCTTGCAACTAACTAAGGCGGAAGGATTAGAAGTGGAGACCAGGCCCACTCGGAGGAACTCCTAAGTGAACTCGAAGCCTTACTTGCAAAGTACCAACTAGTGCTCAACACTACTCATAGGTTACCTCTTCACACAAATGCGATCACTGAATTATTTTGCAGCTAGAACGGGTCAGACAGCAAGATATCGTTCTTCGCAATCTCAAACAACAATTGCTTCAAGCTCAAGCACATATGAAGAAATATATATTCAGATGTGCGCCTTTGCGATGAACTTTCACTATTGAAATGTTGCCGTGGTGAGCTTGATAATTTGTGTTTACTGTTACCACTAATGATTGAGCTAGAAGTTCTTGTGTTACCCACTGCTGTTTTAAGCTTACGTACTACTGAAAGAGGTGGGTTCCCTAGGTTCTGATTCATTGGGATGGGTACCCAAAGCTAGGTTGTTATGAATTGGCTCAAGTGGCCAATGAGAAGGTGTCTATTATGTGATCAGTTATTTCTCCTTCTTTTTAAATATAATCCAAGTATTATTATGTAGTTCATAGAACTGAGAACATAAATACAGAGGGAAATCATAGATAATAATACCTAGAGTTGAGTTATGTTGATTTCATTGTCGGTTTAATTTCAATTACAAGTTGTGACACTCATACTTCATATAATCCCATGAGCATTGTTCATCTTATTAAGAACAAGCATGTGTTGCAATAAAGAGTAAGGGCTTGTTTGGTTTCTTTTTTCTAAAAGATAGTTTTTGTTTTTGAAAAAAATAAAAAAGAAAACTCGTTTAGTTATATGTTTTGAATTTAATTATTTTTAAATCCGATCTTATTTTTGTTTTTAAAAATAAAAAATAGAAACTTTTTAAAGTGTTTTGGTTTCATGTTTTTTACTTCCGAAATGCATTACATTTGAGAAAACTATAGTTATTTTAATCAATTACTATCACAAGCCTCTGCCATTAAGCAGCAATGACATTACTATCAACCGGTTTTTAATTATAGAACTGATTTTTAAATTAACACAACTAAATGAATTTTACTTTTATTTTGTTTTGAAAAATAGTTTTAAAAACTATATTGCAAAGGGAGAATGACAGATAGATTCCAAGGACATCTATTAATTTAAATTGGATTTCAACCAATTTCAAATTGCCAAATTCTAATTATTTGCATGTTCAACTTTCAATTTTGCAACTTCATTTTAATAAATTGCAATTTGTGTTTCAAATTTTAATAGAAAAAAATAAGTTACAAATTCATCATAATAAAATTATAAAATTAAGAGTCGAACTTATAAATTCCTAAAGTTTGACACTTTAAAATTGGTTAAGATCTAATTTGAATTAATTGGTTCCCTTGGAACCTATTTATCATTCTTCCTATCATAAATTTTTTTTAAAAAAATGAAAACAAAAACCAAATATTCCCTAAACAACTGCACTCGGAATGCAAAATTTTTGGATATGCATGGATCATCTTTAACATATTGTAATACAATACAACCAGACAAAGTGAAAGGTGATAAAAAGAAGGAATAATCACATTTAAGGATCACTCAAGTAAATTAATTATATACAAAGACTAACAATAAGTTTCATTTTAAAAAAAAATACCAAGTTTACGTTCCTATTTTAATAACAATTCATTTTATATTAGTTTTTATTTATGAATAATTTGCTTAAGTAGTCGTTAGATATATATAATTCTTCTAAAAAAAATATGAGACTTTTTTTGCTCGAATGTAATAATGAATGCTGAATAAACTAAATAAATTATATATAATGTCAAAAAATTGTTATGTTTATTCATGTTAAATAAAAAAATCCAATATAATTGAAATGACGCCTCAAATAATTAAAGAAACTTGCATAAAGCCGAGTGATATCATAAATGACATGCCTGCTGACGAAAGACATTATATTAGGGCCACAAGCAACAGTTTATTTTATGTGAATATTCGTTTCCTCGTGTGTACCCTAGGAAATGTCAAAGTAATGATATTTGTATATATCAATGTTTTAAAAATCCGAATAGACAACTAACAAAAAAATTCGACACATTACAGTTCTTATAGTTTAATTGGTAATATAATAAATAAATAAAAGATAATATTTAAATGAAAAAAGTGTACAAACAGTCCAGTCATTCTAAAGTCAGTTTTTCTCTGAATCTTCAAGAGCCGATCAAATTAAAGTGAGTCAACTTGGATCAATTGTTAGAACAAACCAAATGGTTAAACCAGATTTTTTTCTTTACTTGGCGATTGATTACCTGGCATGTTTGACCATCTGGACTGATTTGGATTTGAAAACACCGGTTTATATGAGGATTGAACTGATGGTGTGCTTCGCAATATAATATCTTAATAAATACTCTTTCAGTTAAAAGTTTTATTGGTGATCACCTTCCAACAGCCAATTCAACAAACTTCTTGGTTATTTAAAAACTGATCTAACTAAAGCCACAGTCAAAGAAATTACGTGCTTGATGACAGAAGACAAAAATAAAAGAACCTCCGTCATATACAAGTTGATTTCGATTGGACTTTTTTGACATCCCATACAAACAATAAAATCCATCATGTGAAAGAGTCCGAATATTTGTTGGGCCTATCAGCCTATCCATTTAAACTTATTTTTAAGTGCTTCACTTTAAACATTGAAGTATTCTTATATAAAAGGGCTTTTAAGCCCGTCCCATTTTAACCATAAAAAATAAACATTGTAACCCACACTTAATGGAGAAGATTCTATGGTTCCCACACTACATATTTTTCATTTACTTTACT